TGGTAGATTAATACAAATCGAATGCTGAGGATAGATCATATAACTATTTATAATTTAAAGTTTTCTTGAAATAAGTCACAAAATATCTATACTTTTCTTGGACTATTATTGCCTTTATCTCTCAATAAAAACTAAAGCCGTACCAAAGTTTTCTTATCTAATATCTTTGTTACAGAACCATGAAGATAGCCTACAAAACAACCCAACATCCGGAAGACCGCAATCAAAAGTCCATGTACGTACTATGGTAGGTAACATTAATTGGTATTAGTGCTATCAAAATAAAAATAAAAATTATATCAAAAGATGTTAAAAAATATATAATAATAATAATAATAAGTCTTAGCGAACCCGAAGGTTCGATGCCGACACCACCAATCGCTTGTTACACACCTCCCTCCACCGTTCGCCGTCCAAACCCAGTCCCTTCAGATCGGCTTTAATGCAATCTTCCCACCTTCGCTTCGGTCTACCCCTCGGACGCTTACCATTCGGCACAGCAAATATTAACCTTTTAGGAATTCTCTCGTTACTAAGCCCAACAACTTTACAAGCCCATTTGATTCGCCGCGATGAAATCACCTCAATTATATTACCCGGATACAGCTCACGCAATTCGGCGTTGTGTAACCGTCTGAACTCTCCGGTTAACTCATCCTTCTTCGGTCCGAATATTCTACGAATACTTTATTTTCAAAAACCCTAAGACGCTGCTCATCCCTTAATGTAAGCGGCCAAGTTTCGCATCCATAAAGAACTGTAGGCAAGATAATTGTTTTATAGATTATAATTTTTAAGTTTCGGGACAAGAGGCGCGAACTAAGTAGTTTTGTCATAGAAAAATAACAAGCATTCCCCTTCTTCAGTCTAACCTTAATCTCTTCTTCAATTTCGTTTTTTCTAGTTATCGTAGAACCTAGATACCTAAATTTATCTACCTGTTCAAACATATTACCATCTATATCGATATCACCAGTAGTATCGCCATTTTTGCAGCTAACCATATATTTTGTTTTATCCACATTTATTTCGAGTCCTAGTTCTTTACCGGCTTTCATTAACGTTGTCGTATTTAGTTTTATAGTTTCAACGTCTTCGCTTAACAGTACCAGATCATCAGCATAGCCCAGCACGGATGTTGTCCCGCCCAGGTCCAACCCTTTCTCGGTTCGCATTACCGAGTTAAAAAAAGTTCGTAAAAAAATATATAAAATAATTAATTTATTTTTTAAATTGTTTTAGGCCAAGGGTCTCAAAAAAATCGCTTTCTTTACTGCCCTTTTATTGCTGATGTTTCGGTTTCAGAAGCAATTTTCAAATATTAACTTTAAAATTTATAACTGTATGCCTCACCCAGGCATCTTATTCTCTAAACACCCCCAACTCTAATAATTGTTAATTCATAAAATATAATTCAATTTCATGAAACATATTTTAATTTTCTCATAGGCAAGTACAATAAATAGCACATGATAAGTACCTAATTAAAGCCATGTAAACTAAAATAATCTAAATTAATTATATTATATACAGAATTACATTATATAAATCACATAAGAATTATGACTATATATATATAGTTAACAATTCATGTTGTGTTAAAATTATAATATTTTAATGGTCTTAGACTAATTATAAATTTCACAGATAAAACTTGAAAGTTGTTTCTGATGCTGAAACATCTGTAATAAAAGCGTAGTCAAGAAAGTGATTTTTTTTCGTAACTCTTGGCCAAAATTTATTTAAATAATAAATAAGAAAATGGCACCAAACATAAAAAGTCTGATTAGATAATTCTTTTATCTTTTTACAATTCTATTATTTTTCAGGTGAAGTTTTTCGAAAACCAAGGTGGATCGGATAAACATTCAGAGTATTCATGATCACCAACACTATGTAGGCTTCATCACTAAGATTTTTCTGTATAAATTCTTATATATTTTATAGGTGTTATGTTAAAAAATAATACTGTTTGTCTTTGTAATTATATCTATATAATAATAGCCCAATACTTATTTTTGTTGTACCGCATACTCCGACTAAATACCTAAAACAAATTCACTATTGAATATCCAAAACCCATAACAATGATATAAACTTAGTTTAAGTTTAAGTTTAAGTTTAAGAATTTAGTGTAGGGTTCCAAATTAAGATTAACTTTTCAGGAAAGTTAAAAAAAATAAATCAAAAAAAGATTATGCAATATCTAAGCTACTGAATTTTAAAACAGAATTTGACATACAAATAGATTGACGGTAAACTGAATATAGCTTGGAAGTGAAGGATTACTAAACAACTGCTAAATAAAGTGGTCAATTAATATCTAATGGTATTAAAGCAAGGAGGTTTAGATGAGCTGGGTATTTAGCTAAGTGTTATCCATCATTAAACCTCTCCGCTACAATGTATACCGCAATAGTAGACAAAAGATGACCACGTGGAAGGTGGAAAACCATGGATTGATTGAACCAATAAGGATGCAATAGAGCAGCATTCAGATAATTGAAAAGACATAACCTAAGAGAGATAGAGCTGAAATGCGAAAGGTTAGTCAAGACAAGAAAAAAAAAAGGTTTTATATATATAAAATTATATATTAGAAAGGCAAGCACTCCCAGATTTCTTTATATTTATGTATATATTTCATATTTTACTGCATGCGCAATACTTTTAAAGTAATATAATGTATAAGTGGTTATTCATTGCATTATTTGTACAAGAAATTTTCTTTTAACAAAGACACTTATTCTCTACATTATACACGGTGGGCCAGAACCCCTACCGTGCACCTCTCCCTTTCTCTCCTCCTCCCCGCCACATCCCTATAAATTGCATATCGTTATGTCCCTTGTAACTATTTATTTAAAAAAAAACGCCAATTTTCCTACATAAAGAATTGAACGCACTGTCCCAAAATAGAGCTTAAACAAGACTTTGACTTTAGTTAGTTTTTTGGTCTCTGAGAATCAGCATTTGTCTTAATTTCGCCATAGTTGGTCTTTTATTAACAGAAAATAATAAAACATGAACAACTATTAAAAAATAATTGGCTTAGGCATTAAAAAACACCAGTAAATTCAGTTTTTTTAACAAAATAAATTTCAAGTTGAAAATCAAGCGTCGTCTGTAATTAAACGGCCAACAATAACTCAAAGCATGCTGAAATAAAACATCTGAAGAATATATTTATCTTTCTAAAACGGTGATTTTTTTTTTAAATATTTAAAGCAGTTCCGCAGAAAATGTACTTAAGCGGCAGAAAAGCGGTACTGGCGTGGGTGCCTACAGGGCTCTACCACACCATTCAGTACACATAAATGGCTTAGTTATAGTGATATAATAACGTTTTTGGTACACTATATTGATTGTATTAATTAATAAATATGAATGCAATAATTTAATTCTCCAAAATTTTTTTATTTTTTCTTAATTTAACTTCCTTTATTCTATATGGAGGTCGTTCAAGCAGGCCTCTATTGTAAAAATGATCTAATAATAATAATAATAAAAGCTATAAGTAGTTTTTACCTTTCCATCTTTCATTGGGCATAAAGAATAATGCATTTAATATTAAAATTTCTTACTTTTTTCTTATGGTCCAACTTCCAAACAAAATAAAGGGAATAAAAATTCATTTCTTTATTAGTGATATATGAGTTTTACTAAACAACCCATCAACTATTTATTATATGTAGTTCAGATTAGGTATATATTATTTTAGTTTATAAAACAAGTATTAATATGACTCGATTCCTGGGAAGTATATACAATTTAAATTATCTCTGAAAATCAGTAAATATATAAAACAAATTGTTAAATTGCAAACGTTAAATAAAAAATTCAAGATATTGAGCAAAGTATTTTTGAATTAAGTTTTATTATTACAATTATATATTTTTTACAATAGAGGCCTTCTTAAACGACCTCGGTATATAATAAAGGAAGTTAAATTTAAATTAATATAATTTACCAAAAACGTTTTTGTATCACTATAACTAAGACATTTATGAGTACTGAATGGTGTGGTAGAGGCCTGTAGGCACCTACACCAGTACCGCTTTTTTGCCACTTAAGTGCATTTTCTACGGAACTGCTTCAAATATTTTAAAAAATAATCAGTTTTTTAGAAAGAAAAACATATTCTTCAGATGTTTTACGTTATTGTTTGCCGTTTAATTACAAATTATGCTTGATTTTCAACTTGAAAATTTTTTGTTAAAAATCTGACTTTATTGGTGTTTTTTACTGCCTAAGCCAATTATGTTTTTATATTTTTTCATGTTTTATTATTTTCTGACTATCTAGCTTTAATAAAAGACCAACTATGAGGAAATTAAGCCAAATTCTGATTCGCAGTGACAAAAAAACTAACTAAAGTCAAAGTCGTAAGTCCGCTATGTTTTGACGCTATTTTTAGGTACTTTTTCGCTTAAAAAGATAATCGTTTGCTCAGAAGGTGTTGAACTAAATCAATATTATTTAAAGTTTAATAAAAATTAAAATGTACCGTTTTGACTGTGAGGTAAAATTATCCAGTTTTTTTAAATTATCACAGTCGAATATTTTAATTGTATTAAGTTTGTAAATATTTAAAATGAGATTATAAATAAATCTGTTGAAGTGTTTCCGGTTTTATTTGTTTACTCTAACCATTCAAGTATTTTTTCTATTTTAATGGGAATGCATTAATTTCACTGTGAGCCACTGTATATATAAATTTATTTCAAAATTTTCAATATTATATTGTTGATTTTATACAATTTTTACACATAGTATAAAGTCCAGCCATTTTTTAAAACTACTAATTAATTAATTACTAATCTTTCAGTAACGTATAATACAATAATATAATGAGGTGCGTTCACTTTTTTTGTGGGTACATTAGTTTTTTTTTCAATAAATAGTTACAAGGAACAGAATGATATGCAATTTATAGGGATGTGGAGGAAGGAGAGGAGGAGTGAACGGTTGGAGGGGGGTCTAGTCCAGACTATTATTACCTTTGATAATTGAAGACGAGAATGGCCATCGGAAGCAGACAGACGAATATGGTCACTACGACGGTGAAGAGGAGCGACACTTTGACCGGCGGAGCCCTCGGGAACATGATGGTGCAGATGCTAAGGTCCTCCTCGTGGTGGAACCAGAAGAGAATGGGCGAGAAGAGCAGCATGGCCACCAGCCACATGGTGAGGACAACCAGCCCCGCCGAAGACACTGACAGCTTCAATCTGGGGTCCAGTGTGAGGCACCTGTACCTCTCCACGCTGATGAAGGTGAGGCTCCACAGCACCGTGAACCCGCACACCAGCTAAGGCACACAGTAGAGAGGTAGAGCTAACAGGCTAAGAGCTACCGACCATGTAATTTAACTGATCGACTTATAGCTGATAACCAGCTTAAATTATAGCTAACCCTCATCTGAACACATAACATTGCCTAGTCGGCTGATAGCCGTTGCTTTCTATATGAAAATTTAATTTTTTTTATTTTATTATTTCTTAATGGTATTTACAACTGTATTATATAAATACATCTAGTAAATTTGAACATATGGATATAATGACATGAAAACACTTGCTGAGTAACTACCCAATGGTAGCACTCTTATGATATATCTACATTAGAAGATCAAGGGGCCATCTTCTTTTCAGACGCCTCGGAGGGTTATCAGGAATTGAAGAAGAAGCAAGGTTAGAAACGAGAAGGTTGGGATGATTCTGAAGTTTATTATGGAAGGATAGGTATCTAGATTGGGCCGGATCTGAAACAAAAGGAACATTAAGGTCATTATGGATGGTTTTAATTGTAACAATGCAGGCATCATTGAGGATTTTACGAAGGATTTTGGATTGTAAGGATTGGATACGAGAGGAATTCGATGGTTAGTGGAGCCCCATAGCTCAACTCCGTAAGTCCAAATAGGCCTTATTATAGTCATGTCTATGAGTCTTTTGTAATTAATTGGAAGTTTAGAGCGTTTGTCCAGTAAGTGCTGAAGTATTTGGAAACGTCGAGCGGTTTCTTTTCGTTTCAGTATGGTATGAGTATTTAAATTAAAGAGGCGAAATTTGACGTTTCGTTTAGCGGCAGAAATTTAGATATTATGTAAAAAATGTGTCCCTAAAAGAAAGTTCACCTTGACTGACGATGTACTTGGTTGCGTTTTGAAAACTGACGACTTCAAAGTCGAGATAAATAGAAAACATCGGCACTTTTGGATTTTTTTGGACACGACTCCGAAAATATGCATTTTATCGAAATTATTATTCTATAATCGTTAAAGATGATAAAAACTACTATTTCATAAATATTTTTTTTAATGTAAAACCAACGGATGAGGAGGTAGAGAACTAACGGACCCAGGATTTAATTTTTGGGGAGAGGGGCTTCAGACCGAAAGCTTTTTTTTTCATAAAAATAACGATAATTACTTTGGAAAAAAAGAAAGAAACTAACTACCTGTATGAAATGGTGTTTAAGTGATTTCTAAAGCCATTTTAATATTAATCACACGAACAATAATACTTTAAGAGATACTTAATACTTTTTAATATTTTTTCCATAAAATATGGTTATATTTTATCATTTTGGGTGAGACTTCAGCCCCAAAGCCCCTCCTCCCCCCTCGTAGATCTGCCTGTGAAGTAGAGCATGTTTACTGTTCGTTTATTTCACATGAAATTTCTGTTTTCATCGGTTTTTCTACCAAAACTCATAATCTAAGTAACTATTTAAACAATTTCTAATAAACAATTTCATAGAACATTAAATTTCATATAAATATGTGAGAAGGTAAGCGGCCTATTAATAGGCACGGAACCTAAAGCGTATTTCAGTCGTAGTATCTTCCGTACTCAACTAAGGCACTTTTTATTTTTTCAATGCTTTTGATTCAGCTAATTTAACGATGTTTGTAACAGAACTAGAATGTATAAGCAAATTATATAGCTTTTATATATTCTGTTGCTATGAGAGATATCAACATTTATAATAATCAAAAAATTAAGGAGCGAAATGTGCTTCAAAGTCCGAGCGCTATAATGGCTTTCCAACTTTTCGTTTATTAACGATTATACTTGAGATAAATTAGAAAATTTATGCTCTTTCAATTCAGCCCAAGATTATGTACGAGTAAATTACCTGGGAGTAAGGAAGGAGCCGGCAGAGAAAATCTCCAATGGCCCACTCCGGGTTGAGCCTGGCCGCCACCACAGCGGGTATCCCGAGGGCGAAGAGCGAGTCGGCGAAGCAGAGGCTCATGAGGAAGCAGTTGGTGACCGTCTTGTTCCTGGCCTTGAGGAGGGCCGCGATGAGGAAGGAGTTGGTGAGGACCGAGACGAAGAGCACCGCGAGGAGACCCGCGGCCTCCAGCCGGGCCTCGACCGCCCGCAGCCCGAACTGGCTGTAGAAGGTGAAGAAGAAGGTGCAGTCCTGGGTGTAGCGGGAATCGAACCCGAGCCGGTATGAGCTGTTCCACGGGCTGTCGAACATGGCGGACTGCAGCAATTAGTGGGCCGATGTGGGCTCTTAATTGGTCGGTCAGGGGTCAATCTACCTCGTCGCCATTCAGCTAGGCTCGGTATCTGTCTTCAGTTTGGGTAACTCAATTCATACTCGCAGGGTTCATTTATCAATGGAGTATTGCTAGGTTCTGGCGCATAAACAGGAATGGAGCTTTCGGTCCAAACTCCTCCCTAAACAGAAAAATAACTTTAGATACCTAACAGTTGACGGTTTATATAACGAGGGAAATTTTGGTTCGGGTGGTATCCATAAATAACTTATGGTCCAACTTCCAAAAAAAATAAAGGAAATAAAAATTAATTTTTTTTATTAGTGATATATGAGTTTTACTAAACAATCCATCAACTATTCATTATATATAGTTCAGAGGTATATATTATTTTAATTTATAAAACAGGTATTAATATGACTCATTTTGGGTGAAGTATATACAATTTAAATTACCTCTAAGAATCATCAAATATACAAAACAAAGTGTTAAATTGCAAAGGTTAAATAAAGAATTGAAGATATTCGGCAAAGTATTTTTGAATAAAGTTTTATTATTATAATTATATCATTTTTACAATAGACACCTTTTTAACGACCTTCGTATAGAATAAAGGAAGTTAAATAAAAAAAATTAAAATAATAAATTAAAAAAAAATTGTTTATTTGTTTTGGACAACTAAATTATTGCATTAATATTTGTTCTTTAATAAAATCAATAGTGCTCTCGACCAATCTCCGCTGGCTTTAGTACCAGTGACGCGGTTGGGAGAGTAGCGCAGGGTTCTCCTGGAGTTCCCTCGCCTGATTGTATATAGGTATGCATTGTGTTTTTAGTTTTAATTTTCTTATTTTTTAGGTTATTTTATTTTATTGTCTATTGTATATACTTTTAATTATTATTTTGTTCTATTTATTTTATTTTTTTGTACATATAGTGTGAATGACATCCTACCTCACTATAACCAATGTCGAACAGACAGATTGTTATAATACTCAATAAAAAATATTTAAAAAAATAAAATCAATATAATGTACAATATAATGTGTTGTTCTAGCGCATCCACGGGAGATTTCGGTCCGAACTCCTCCCTAAATAGATAAATAACTTTTGATACCTAATAGTTGACGGTTTGTATAACGAAGAAAAATTGGTTCGAATGGTGATCATAAAATAACTTAACATTCAATTTTTTGTTCATGTATTTTGAGATATATCCATGTTTATAAAAAAAAAAAAAAAAAAAAAAAGGAATACAAATATATAAACATACAATGGCTCACAGTCAAAATGATACTGGTGGATATCGGTAGAAATTATAGAATAAATAAATAGTTCAATTTTTATTACATTAAAAATAATAATTTATAACTAGTTGGCCTGTGGGAATAATTCGCAGAAAATTTTGTTTAGTTAAGAAATACCAACAATATGGAAATAAGTTGATCCTATGCACTAGCGGATCCGGGATTTAATTTTGGGGTGGAGGGCTTCAGCCTGAAAGATTTTTTTTTCATATATACGACAATAATTAATTTGGGAAAAAAAAAAAAAAAAATTAACTACCTATATGAAATGGTGTTTAAGTGATTCTTGAAGTCCTATTAACTGTAATTACACGAATAATAATACTTTAAGAGATAGTTTATGATATTTTTTTCTATAAAACATGGTTATATTTTACCGTTTTGGGGGAGCTTCAGCCCGAAAGCCCCTCCTCCCCCCCCCCCCCCCCCGTAGATCCGCCTGTGATCCTATGTATTATGTAACGAAGGAATTAATATTTTTTTCTTGGTCGATTACAATATTCCATTTAACATAATATACCAAAATATATGTACAAACTGCTTTGCTAGGACTTATTTTAAACGCTGACTGGAAAGATAATAAAAGTAATTAAGACAAAATAATGCCCTGATCATGGGATTTTCTAAATTATTAAAAAAAATAAATGCAAGAACAAACAAATGCCTTTAAAAATAATAAAGTTAGTATATAAGCCAGGAAAAAAAGTGTAATAGACTCCTAAATGCAATATCTTTAAAGAGGAAGACATTCATTATTAAGTATACCAAAACTAATGGATCTTTGATAATAATTGTCCGATTTTTATGTGTTTTTTTTTTTTGCAGACCATTTAGTAATCTTTCTAATTACCATGGGCACAATCAAGAAACAAAGCATACTTTTTGAATTATTACCAAATAAAGTTTCTTTTCCTTTATAACTTTTTTTCCAGAAATTTTGGGGGGAATAGAGCTATTTTTTGCATGTGAAGGAGAGGAATATCTTCAAAATGAGTGGTCAATCATTGGATTTGTTGAAGAATTGACGACGTTATGGCATACTGACAAAAAAACACGTTTTAGCAATAATATATAGGATAATCAATAAACATTCTAGCAATGTGTTGTTTTCTTATGTTCTTTTTCTTGTTCTTATGTTATGTTTTATGTTCTGTTTCTTGGTGTGGGGATGTACAGCATCTTCCATTGTTTGAAATCTTCACTTTACAGTGCAAATATTCACACGGTATAGTGAATAAACATGACTTCATAGACATTTTGAGAAGAAACTTCAAATTGTGGAAAATTTGGGGTAAAAAAAAATTTGATTTTTATCAGAATAATGATCTTGAAGAGTGCCATATTAGTTAAGATATGGCTACCTTATAACTACAATAAAGTTATAAAAACTCCACCACAGTCACCAGATCTTAATTCAATAGAACACCTGTGGGCAAAATTGCAGATAGAAATTATAAAACATGAAATTTCTAGCGAAGATGGCTTCATAAAATATTTCCTCAAAGAATGGAACAGGCTAAATCCAGAATCACCAAAATATTGGTTGACTTCATTACAAATAGACTGAAAGGAGTGTTAGAAAAATAATGGTTTGCTTAGAAGATATTGAACTAAATCAATAGTATTTAAAAGTTAATAAGAAGTGAGGTGTATCATTTTGTCTGTGAGATAAAATTAACTTTTTTTTAATTATCGCAGTCTAATATTTTAATTTTATTTAGTTTGTAAATATTTAAAGTGAGATTATAAATAAAGTATTTTTTTCTATTTTATGGGGTGTACCAATTTCACTGTGAGCCATCGTATATATAAATTTATTTGAAAATATTCTGTATTATATTGTTTATTATTTTTCATTTTATACAATTTTTACACATAATACAAAGTCCAGCCATTTTTTTAAACTACTAATTAATTAATTACTAATCTGTCAGTAATGTATAATACAATGATATAAGTGCCTATAAAAAAATAAATTATGGAGCGATTAAACATAACATTATTTTTTTTTTAATATCTAAACTAAAGAATGAAAATAACTAAACATATATGGAAAAAAAGGTTGTAGTATACAAATGTATAAAAAACATAACATGAACCATACAACAAAAATTAAAATATAAAAATAATACGATGTATATACAAAAAAAAAATAATAAGTATGTAAATGCATCAAAATTATGTATGTTAATGGGTAAAAATGTAACTCGAGTCTTTGTGGAAACATTAAAATAATTTATAACTTGAGGAATTAGTTACGTAAAACAGACAAAACATTTAAATTAGTCTGTTTTGCAGATATGCTCAGTTTTAAAATTAATCACCAGATGCGTTTCTAAATTTTTTTTTTCAAAACTATTTATCATTTAAAATAATTTTATAATACAAAAATTATCTTTCTACATCAACAGATATGGATAGGGGCAAATTTATAAAGCACTTAAAAGTACCGGGTTGATATCTGTTGGTTGAAGTTCAAATGTCCATGGGAACAATTAAATATTCGCCATTACAGTTATAAAATACCTTCCAGAATTGTGAGACCTGATTTTTTTTTTGTAAAAACTTCCATCTGTTCATCTAAAGTTTCACGTGCTTGGTATCACTGATTTTCCATCAGTTTTAAAAACTGTTTAATGTTTGTTTGTAAGGTTCAATAAAAAATTTCAATTTTGATGAAAATGGTGAACTTACTTTGAACATTGTAAATAAACAGAAACATGATCTCTTGCAAAGAACTTCAACTACAAACTGAAATAAAAACTTTTTTTTATTTATATTTTATGCAATTTGCACCTGCGCGGCTACGCATCTAGCAAATTTGTTGTATTTGTACTGTCTTGGTATATTTTCTTGATTTGGTTTTTTATTGCCATTTTCTTCTTAATCTGCGTTGTTCAGGTAACAGGCAGCAGGAGATAGAAAGAACCAGATGATTGGAGTGATTTTGGGTTGAAGAATGAAATGTAGTGTATTTTTCGTGGATGTAGGATTTTACTGTTGGGGTGTTTAAGTCGTTATGTATAGTAGTATTTGAAATGTGCCAATGTGCGTTAACAATTTTTCGTAAAATTTTTTATTGTGCTGTTTGTATTTTGTTTATGTGTGTTTGTTTTGCAGAACCCCAAAGTTTTGCTCCATATGTCCATATTGGTCTCAGTAAGGTGTTGTAGATAAGTCGCTTGTTTCTTAAGTTAAGTGAAGATCTGTAGTCCAGAAGATGTGAAAGTTAATAAAACTTAAAATGATATTTACATCGTAAAATAGGTGATATGGATTTCCAAGAATTAGTGACCATCTATAAAGAGAATTATTGAAGGGATAATAGGAGGTAGGTTTTGTGGTAGATTTTGTTGTTCCTGCATTTAAATTAAACCAACAATTGTAATCTTGAATTGCATCTTCAATGTTGCATTTTAATTTGTATTATAAATAAATAAATATTTCTTTACACATGTGCATGTATATATATACCTTATTTTTCATCTATGTTTAGTTATTTTCATTCTTTAGTTCAGATACTTAAAAAAAATAATGTAATCTTTAATCGCTCCATAATTTATTTTTTTATTTCAAAACTTATATCATTATTTCATTATATCATTATATTATACATTACTGACAGATTAGTAATTAATTAATTAGTAGTTAAAATATATATATATATATATATATATATTCAAATATACTGTATGTTTATTTTTTATATTAATATATTTTATTAAATTGATCAAAATATGCAATCATCCTCAAATATGCAAATATATGCATTAACCCTCAAATATGCAAAATTAGGTTAAGGATAATTGTATCACGATGTTCTAATTCGTATAGA